TCCTGGTCTGTTAGATACCTATTATTATGCTTGTGGTTGAAGTTCCTGTTGATGCCTCTTCTACTTCTAATGTTCAATCTCCAAAAGAAGATCCTGCTCATATGTCTGGTGAGCAGGGCTCTAATGTCCAATCCGATGCAGTTGTTTTAGAAGAATCTACTTTGCCAAAATGCTCGCAGATAAATTATGATACTAACAAGGATTCAATATCGGTTCGTCTCGACATAAGTTTCAAGTCTCCATCACACACGGGACTCCAGACTACAGAGCTGGTATCTCTCTTTCTTTCTCTTTATGTGAACAGAGCGCCTATTATTTATACGTATCTGTATGCATGTATGTATTTGTATGTGCACAGCACCTTCAAGTTTGAACTTCACCATTTGGACTTTTTACATGTAAAGGCAATTTACTTGATGTTCCACCATTTACAGGCTATTTATGTCCCTGTGTTGTGTTGATAATAACTTTTTTCTGAATAAGATTCAAATAGGATTGACAATTTTTTCTTGTTTTTTTGTTGGCATTTGTGCTTTGGTTTCAATATGTTTTATACATCGTTCTTATTTGGGAATCACAGGTCAAGAAGCTGACTGAGCAATTTCCAGCAGCCATGCCTCTTGCTTTGGTACTCAAACAGTTCTTGGCAGATCGCAGCCTGGATCAATCCTACTCTGGTGGTTTGAGTTCCTACTGTTTGGTGAGTAATGCTGCAATACTTATTTCACTTGATTAATTGTATCGTATTGATGTGAATTTGTAGGGTATCACCATTTGCATATAAGTTGATTGTTTAGGTTGCTATTCAACAATAAAGGGTACCACTCAATTCATGCATCTAATATAGTTCAAGTTTTCTATGGGATAAACATTCTGCAAGTTGTTAAGGCTACACTCTTGTCATCAGATCATGACCAGTAACTGAGTTTGCAAGCCTCAAAAATTCATTTGGAACGCTAAATTAGATAATAATGGAAAATTTTAGGCAAGGGAGTGAACCAAATAATAAGGCTTGTGGATAAGTAATGAAAAATGACTAGTATTGAATATCCAATCC